TCTGCACAAACGAACAATAGCCTTCAGCTGCACAAAGGATTCCTCCCACCCTGAATTCAGACCGCAATGCCTCTTGCTCTGATAATAGCTTCTGAAAAGATTTTGTAATGCAGAGAATTAATACATGATTATTTCCGCCTGACTTCTCTCATTTATTAGAATTCTGTGGCCAGTTCCAAATTAAAAATAGTTCAGTTAACAGCTTTAAAAAAATACTTTTAAATTATTTTAAGACACCCCCCCCCCAATATTTTTAAGTTTGGTCGTTCCTGTGGCCTGAAAGCTGTTAAAATTTTTGATCGGCTTTAAAGTGATAGTTACTATATCTTAGTAAATATATCTTAGTAAACTTAGCGTGAAATTTCCAAATAATTCTAAGATGGTTCATCTGGGAAACCAAAGACAGACTTGTTTTTAACCATTCATTAGTAGTCTCTAAAATTAATTTCTAAAATTTACAGAGAAAAAGATCTTTACAATTATAGGAACATAAAAGTGCAGAGGAACACGGGATACGGCTGGGTTTGCAAATCAGATTCTTTAGAAATGATGCAAATGAAAACATCCACAATATTAGAAGTTTAGTATCAATGAAATTGCTGCATGCCTGTGCCCATAAGTTTTTGGGTACAAGTGTGTTTTAAAATTGAAGCCAGTGATTTCGATAATGAATTGCTCTTGCTAACTGGTTGCGTAGCACAGCCTTGGGAAAATGCTACATTTTTCTACCCGTCAACAAATATTTTTTACCATAAAGTTATATATTGGTGTGGCTGCCTCACAATCAAGTTTGGGTATACAATGTCCTTTTTTCTTCTTTCTTCTTTTATTTTAGGCTTACCACGTGGACAGCTTAAAAAAAAAGTTTTGAAGGTATTTTGCCATAAATGGCAAAGAAGATAAAGGAAGCCCCAGGCACCTTCACTTATAAGCACAGATCAAAATAGTTTAAATAGGTCAGGACAATGTCTGCAGATTCTAAGAGCAATTCCACTGATTGCCTCTGTGGTCACATATGCATTTCAAATCACAGCTTTTGCAATATTTTATATTCTAAGTTCAAGGAGCTGCAGGTGGAGATGGTTGAGTGGAAGAAATATGCAATGTGCTTCAGTTTACTCTCGGTGCCTCTAACCTGATATAAAGTTGACTTACTCTTCCTGATTCTTACAAAAAATCATACTTTTCCTGCTTCTGCAACTTAGTATTAAGTGCTTGTATATGTGTCGCCTGCACCCTGGGGTACACAGACACCCCGTGCTCCCTGTGTGACCAGGCTGCTTGGGACGGCTGCTTCCTCCACCTTCCCCCTCACCCCTCCCCCGCTCCAAACTTTCCGGGGGGTGGGAGCTGCCACTGTACAGAAGGAGGCGGCCTGACTGTAAATGTCAAAGTCATAAATATTTAAACATTATTTTCTTTCAATTTCAAGTCAAGACTGACAAGATGCCTCTAATTAGTGGAGGGCTCTCGGCAGGGCTCAGCGCCAGGACAAGACTGCAGGAAAGCACCTGTAGTTACAGCCCCTCGGCCTGGGGAAGCAGGGACCCAGGTCACTCCTGGGCAGGACAGAGGGTCAGACTCACTTTTAAGCAAAGGCACCCGTTGCTTTCTCTTAAATCTCCTGGTTAGCAGGGGTCCCTTAAGATTTTTTTTAACTCTACAATAAAGAAAGGCTATACAATAATCATAGTTATTTAAACTCAATCACTGTGCCGAGGACGGAGTTCACGCTCTTTAATTTTTTTTAAAAAGTGTAAATTTTTATTTCTTCCGGGATTCCTCAGTCCTGACTTGCAGCCAAGCGTTTTTCCTCCCCGCGTGACCCTCCCGACAGCACTAGGTAGGACGTTGGAGTCATTGAGGGCGCCCCAAGGAAGAGCGACTTTTCGGGCTCCAACCAAGGTGCCCAGGGGCCAGCGAGAGGCAGGATTCCCAGCCGGGCCCTAAGATCCTGCGGCCGCAGCGTCACAGTGGCCCAAACCGGCGCATCCCTCTCTGTCCCCAACAGGCTTCCTTCCTCTCCTGGTCAGATCCCTCCTCCCCGACCACGCCCGCCGTCCAGGCCCCTCCTTGACCCGGTGCTCGCCCTCCCCAGCCTCACCAGACCCCTCTCCTGGATGCGAGAGGACCACTGCCACCCCTTCCCTGCGGGGCAGCTCCGGCCCAGGCGGCGGGGAGCTGGACGGGACCGTAGAAAGTGGGACTCAATGGACGTGGAGTCCCGTCCTCTTCCCCGGGAGCACCTGGGACCCAGCGGGGGCTGCGCCGCTGGCCGGAGACAGAGCGGGGCCCAGGGAGGAGGGACCCGGGCAGTCACTCTCCTTGACATTTTTCTTTGACCTCTGAGTAAACTCCAAGCGCTGCGTGAGGGGAGGCCGGGCAGGCCCCTTTCCGCTTCCCCGGCCGAGAGCGCAGCCTACGGGTCACGGTGACCGTCGGTTTCCGGCAAAAAGGGCCGAGCCGGCCGGGCGGCGACACTTAGGGCTGCCCGGCCTCCCTCCCGGGGGAGCGCCCCGCCGGGGTCTCTCCTGCCGCCCCAGACCCGGGCCAGGGTAAAGTGCAGGCGCCGCTGCCGGCCTCCTTAGAGGGCCCCTGCGCGTTCACGGCCTCCCACCTGGAACCGAGCGACAACCGGGCTACGCTTGTGCCTCTTACCCAGCGAGACCCCGCGCCTGGGCCGGACCCTGTTCAGGTCCTCAGTCCTCCGCGCGCTGGCGACCGCCCGTCGGCTGCGCACTGAGGTGGTGGCCACCCACCGAGGCGCTGCGCGTCCCCTCGGAGCCAGGCTGGTCACCGCGCGCGTGTGCGCTTCACGTCGCGGGGCAGAAGGGTTCGGGAAGTCCCCGTACCCGGGCGCGGTCAGCCACGTGGGCGCGCGGGGTCCCCCCGACGCCTGGACTGGCTCCCCTGGGGGGGGCGGGGCGGGGGCCGCCGGTCGCCTGCGCCGGGGCGGAGTGGGGGATGCAGTGACGGCTGGGGGCGCCGAGCGGGGTCTAGCGGGACGCCCCCTCCGCCGGCCGCGCGCCCTCCTTTGTTGTCCCCGCTCGTCTGCGGAGGCTCGGAGCCGGCCTCTCCCGGGAGCGGAGGAGCGCTAGTGGGGGGAGGGGCGCATCGGCGGGGTGGGAACCCGGGCGGCCGGAGCCTCGCCGGCCTCTCAGGGGAGCGTCCCGGGCCGGAGGGCTTGGAGAGGGGCGCGCTCTTCTTGAACCGGCCGCGGGAGGACGGGCGTGAACCAGCGGCACCGCGCGGGGGCCGAGGAGCCGGGCACGTGGGTGTCGGGCCCCCTCCCAGTCCGCCCGCGTCTCCGGCACCGCGGCCGGGTCCCTCCGGTTTATTTCTGCGGTTCGGCCTGTCGCCGCGCGGGGCGGGGACACGGTGCCGGGGGGAAGCGGGGCCTGCGGGGCTGGCAGCCGGCAGCCCTCCGGGTGACTTCTTTCTGGGCCGGGGAGGGAGGGGCGAGGGGAGGGGTGAGAGAGGATGGGGAGGGGTCTTCCGCCCGCCTCTCCCTCCAGGCCGAGGGCCGCGCGCACCGGCCGCACTGGCCGGGGGGCCCCCGCGCCCCGCTCGCCCCTCCGCCCGGGCGTCCCGGCTCCCTCCCCCGACCCCCCCCCGTCCGCGTCTCCCCCTAGCGTCCCCGCGCCTCCGTCCCTCCCGCCGCTGGCGGACCTGCTGTCCTCCTCGGAGCCTCGCATCCAGGCAAGAAAATCCGGCGTCTTTTCTCATTTCACCCGCGTTTCCATTAACCCAGTCCCGGCACCAGCTAATCCGCGGCACCGAAGGCAAAAGGAGGCTAATTAATGACCAGCTTTTCCAGTCAGGACCGGCGATAATTGCTTTGGTGGCCTTTATGATTACAAGATAAAAATGGCCCGGCCTGACATAAGAGGCCCTGTGTACACTCGGAGACAGGAGGAAATGAAGAGTTGGGAGGCTGAATACGGAGCAGAAAATTACTAATAGAAGAGAGATAATGAATAGGCCGGCCAGGCATTCATGGGGAAAAATCCATTTTGTTACCACGCGAAATTAGGTGGTGGAAAGGAGTTTGCTAATTGTTCTCATCTTGTAGCAACCAGGACTGGGGCGGGGGCGTGCATTTCTATTCATTCCCCGAGTAATTGCGGAAGGGTGTGCTGGCCGAGTCTCCATCGTCCCCTGGCGTTTTAATTGTTGCTGATATTCCTTATAATGAAGCTAATGAGGGCGCGCACTGTGCAACTTTGTGTGCATGGAGACTCGTGCAACGCGCCGAAAGGATGTTCTTACCCACCCCCACCCCGCCCCCCGAAGCAGGAGAACCCGACGGACCTGGGCTCCCTTACCTTTCACCCGCCGAGAAGTGAACTCCTGGACCATAGTGCGCCCCTGTCTCGCAGCTCCTTTCAAGGAAAAGTGCCGAGGTGCGAAGTGCGGGGTCTGTGCGGGGTGTAGACGCGGCCCAGGTCCGAGGTCTGGACGAGGGGACGAGGGGACGTGCCTTGGAAGGCGAGCGGAGGGGCTTCCGGGATGGCAACTCCCTGCAATATGTGCAAGAATATTAGCCTGACGCTTCACAGAAGCAGGCTCAGTGGTTGGACTTCTGCTGGTACCCTTACGCACAGCAGGAGCTAGGCACCCCCATCCGGTCTATCCACCCCAGCCCCACCGTTTGTGAGGCATCCGCTCCCCGCGTACCTCTTGAGAAGGGACGAAGGCTTTAATTTACTTAAGGCAGTGAATTAGCTGCCGAATACTTTATACCTTTAAGTTTGAAAAACGGCGGCCGTTAAGGAAACAAAAGTGACGCCTGTAATGACGTTCCTTGTGAAAACTTTGCCGTCTGCGGCGCGCTGTGTTGAAATGACTGTAGCTTCCGGTCCGAGGGCTGCTTTCCTGGATGCCCTCCTGTTGTCTCAGTGCCAGCCCAGAGCTTTACGTTTTAGGTTGCGTTTGGAAGGGCTGGTTTTCAGGACTCATGATTCACTGGGTAGTAACCTGCCCCCTCTCCTATTCTGCAGAAAAGCAAACCCAAGCTTCTGCCTCACCAGGCAGAACGAGAGGACTCGACCAAGTTCATCGTGCTCACTCTGGTCTCCGTCGTCGCCATCGTGGCGGTCCTGCTGGCGTCCGGCGTCATCTACTGCCTACGACACAGCTCTCAGTACAGGCTGAAGGAGAAGCTCTCGGGACCTGGGGGCGACCCGGACCCTGATGCCACCAACGCCTACCAGGTAAAAAGAGACTTTTCTAAGTGCTGTTTCAGTTCCATTCACCACTGGAATGGACGGATTGTTTAAGTCGTCTTTGGCCCCTCCCCCATTCCCAGCAGTTGTTCATTTATTCATAGTTTGGGTTCTTGTGTGATGACGATTTGAAACTTCTCATTAGCATTCACGTAAATACCTTGAAACCCTAGTTTTCCTGCTCTAAATTAATCTTATGCTGTTCTGGGATGGTCTCATGTTAGCTGTGAAAGCGGGCTGCTAATTAGAAATGTGGAAAAAGTATAATACATGAATTATGTATTATCTGTTATCTTCCTTAGTTTGGCCACTATTAATAAAAAATGCCGGAGTTGCAAGATAAATTGGTTGTGTAGATGTACGAAGGTGTCCCTTAAATCATCGGCTTCCTCAGGATCTCATGTGAAAAGATCCTCTGACCTGATCTGTTGCCACCTTCGCTGTTATTTGGATAAAGTGGCATCTAAGGCCGATAGATGGAAAGTAAGCCAAGGATGTCTTCAGGAGCGCAGTGGTGGAGCCACGCACTGGTGATGCAGAAACGGTCCAGACACACCTGGAAAAAAATTGGAACCAATGAGACTGAGGGGAGGAGGTTCAGACGAAACTGGACGTAAAAAAAAATTCACAGAATGTTTGGGAGTTCCGTAGCACGCACTCCAGATTTAATAATGTTCGTAATGAAAACACATCTTCACGCAAGCCCAGAATATATACCAGTCAGGGCATGTGATTTCTTCTAACATAAAATATAACGCAACTCCAAGTATATCTTCCCGTTTGGGAAGGTAATTTACTTAATCATCGTTTCCTGAAGTTCAATAGATACATTTTGTAAAGCGTTTCTCCCATTGGAGTAGAGTCTTTGCTTTCTGAAGTCACATGACTGTGACATGGAATATGTCGTGTAAATAATGCATCCTGCTTTACAGTCACGGCTGTAAATGTTATCATTCTGTCGTCACAGTTGCACTGCTGGGGAGCGGCTCAAGCTCTGTCTAGAACACCGCCCCCCCCCCCCCCCGGAGCTTGTCTGAGAGCCGCCCTGACCCTGTCTCACATAAGGTGCTGGGATGAACTGATAAAATCGCTCTGCTTAAGAGAGACCAGAAAGTGCTATTTTCCCTACTTCAAAACTCTCGGTGGTGTTGTTGAATGAAGAAAACCTCTGGTTTTCTGGAGGGGGTCAGAAGCCTGGTCAGTACGATCTTTTCTTATAAAGAAACAGCAACTTCAAATGTGTGGGAGATGGCGTTTCAGGGGCTAGCTTTGCTTCAAAGCAAACGAAAGAGCACATTTGAAGAAGCAGCTTGGGGGGAATGTCACACAAACTAGTAAGAAGGCATCCAGAAATTCTATTGAGCAGAACCAGTGTAGGCGTTTGGGTCTCTTCTGGGCCAAGCCTGTGTGGGACATAAATAAATTATCACACTAGTTCCGTTAGGTGTGTGAGAGATGGCAGATCGTACGGGCAGAGGTTTGTAGAAAGCGCGGCGTCCTTTGATATGCTTTGAAATTTGAATATAAAATATTGATAGAATGGAAAGGTTGGACTTGCATGCAGAAGTGACTAATTCTGACACAAGTGCAGGTTGCAAATGCACACTTAGGACTGAGTTTGTGATAATTAACAGAAAAAAAAGCTTCCCAGTGACAGCTCTAATTAATAGTATCTGTAATTAAAATCATGCCCTTCCAGCAGGAAAATTGTTTGAATTTCTTGGAGTGACCTTTCTGTGGTTCTCCTGGGGGCATGGTGGTTAAGTTGATATTGATTTTATAATGAGCTCTGGTTTGTTTAATAAGAATCTGTAATCCAGACAATAAATGAAATGTGTGCTTTTCTTCAATCCAGATTAATAATAATAATAAAAAAAAGGTAGGGGGGAGAACACAGAAAAAAGCTTTTCCTTTAAAAATAGGATCTAGGAAAATTTGGAAATGAAATTATTGTAAAGATTTTCTGGTGGGCTTAGTTTTGAAATTACTACAGGGCACCCTTGTGGGAACTACTTTGATTAAATGTGGAGGTTTGCCCCCTCAAAGTGGCCTGTTTACCGGTGAGAACGTGCTGGCACTAGGCTGTCGTGCTGCTTTGATTTGTTTTTTGCAGAACACACTCGGGGATGAGGATGCCATGATTTTTAGCTCCCCGTTCAGCTGAGTCATGGATTAAGGACTTGTAAGAGTGTAGTTACGCGTAGAAGGTTGTACATTCGTGAACGAAGCAGGTGTTCGTTCATTCATGTATCCATACTTTCTTAGGTTTTTCTGTAACTGCCATGGAGACCCCCTTCAAGTGTAAAAACCTGTCTGAAAAGTTTTTTAAAGTATTTCAAGCACAAAACAGTAATTTTAGGACAGTATCTTGTTGCTTCCACGCTTCGTTTTCAAATCTTTGAACTTCTGCACTTTGCTGATTCTACAATACAGGTGAGGTTATGGATAGCCTCAGTGTAATTCTCATCATGGAGTTACAAGGAAAATTGAACAATTTAATACTGTGCTTTATTTCATGGGGACGTGATGGAAATATTCAATTCATTTTATAAAGTTTCTGAAGGAGAAAAAGAGTATTGTGTAAGTATAGAAGTAAGTGAATGGCCTAGGAAAGGTGGAATGGTAGGTGGCAGTGTCATAGGTTTTACCGATACTGGCATATGAGGTCACCCTTTAAACGAAAGACCTGAGTGTTCCCATGCAGGAAGGATGCAGGGCACAGGCCTTGGGAGAGAGGGGAGGGGAGGGGAGGGGCTGGTGGTCTGGAGGAGGGACTGGGTGTGTGATTCCTTCTTCCCAGAGAGCCAGAGAGGCCACGTGTCCTAATTAAACTGCACAGCAGTAGTGTCGTTGCCAGATTCTTCTAGTGGGAAGGCCCTCGTGTGGTTGGCCCTTCAGGAAGCTCTGGTCTGCGTCTTCCAGTATCCATCCCCTGCGGTCCCCGGTGGTCCGTGCCATGCCCCTGCATGCGCGTAATCCGTGGTTTGGGGTTTGAGGTTCCAGCGGACTCGTGGAGGGTTCCTGAAAAATCAGTGGGCTTTTCATAAATTGTTTCCAAACAGTGAGTAGTTTGCATTATTAGCTTCGAATGCAAACACGTTTAAACATTTTTTTTTTCTCTTCTCCCTTAAAATAGAGCTATCTCATAGACAGAGTCAGCATGTTAAAGGTTCTTAGTTAGTTTACACGCGTAAGTGTGTGATATTTTTGTTTGCTTTACCTATTGGAAAATCACATCTTTCTTAATAAACTCTTATTTTAACACTTAACAAGGTATCAATTTCACCAGGTAATCTATCAAAGTTTAATTTGCTCAAACTTGAAAGATTTGGGTATGCTAACTTGTAGAAGAACTGAAATCCATCTTTAAAGGTCATGTTTTAATGGAATTCCGCTGCCAAACTTTTCCCCTTTGTTTTAGTAAATGTTATTTTTGTCCTCTACATAGAGCAACATAATGTATTTGGATTAAGTCTGTATTTCCTGATCTGAAAAGCCAATTTCTTTACTTTTATTCCTGTTTTCCCCCAGTTGGCATGTCACGTGACACGTATGTTGTCCGCACACGTGCGTGTGTATTTACACACGCGCGCTCCCCAAGGGCATCCGGCGGGCTTGTGAGGCGAGGCTACCAGCACATTCTGTGTTCTGTCACGTCGCTGTCCTACTTCTGTGCACGGGGATTGGGTAACACTGCGCAGAAACAAGCCGTTGGATGATGAGACGGCGTCCCCGCCTTTCTCTCCCCGAGTCTCTTTGAATGTTGAGTCCGTGTCTCTGAGGCTTTGATCCTCCCAGAGCAGCAGCCACTCCCCTTCCCCACGCGAGGGCACAGCCTCCCGCGGAATTGCCGGCGAGGCCTCTTTTGATGGTTTGTCTCCCAATGCCCGCAGGCTCCCTGGGTACCTGGGGGCCTTTGGAAGCGGACCCAGAGGAGAGGAGAGGAAGCGGTCGGGAGGCGCCCTGCAGAGAGCCGCCCGGGGCCCAGCCCACTAGCTCCAGACTCTTCGGTAGACGACGGCCACAGTCCCCTCACCCCGACTCGGGCTGACGCACTGAGGCCTCCGTCCTCACGCCTGAGAGCGAGGAGAGCCGGGCTGTCAAAGAGAGGGCAGGTCCCACGTCGGCTGTTCTCCTTGCCTTTGATTCAGGGGCCCTTCTAGGTGAATCTCCCCTGCTTGGTGTAGCAGTTGGCACAGAAGCGTTTCCCAGTTGAGGTGGAAAACGGTGAACTCCTGGGGTACACTTGATCCACCACCAGTTTCCGCCATAGCCCTTCCCACTTCAGTCAGCCGTGCATCTTACGGTGCCGTGGCCTGGCTTTATGTTTAGATTCTCAGGTCAAAATACTTCTGTGTGCAGATTTCCAATAAGCAAAATCTGTCCTGCTTCAAACATGGAAGGGTGCCCTGAAATGCTACGAAAGAACAGTTCTTTCTGTGATGACCCAGTCGAGCCTGACAACTGGAACCTTTCAGGTTTTGCCTTTGCAGAAGTAGCTGGCGGTACCAACGTCCACAGGCAGAATTCACTCGAAACTTTCCCAATTCTGATCGGTTTTGCAAGGGGGTGTATTGTCAGGTAGAAGCCCGGCTGCTGAAGACGAGGCCCGGGGCCTTCCTGCCTCCGCAGCCCCCAGACAGGCCCGGGCTCCCCTGTACTTTAAGTCACGTCATGCTCGTCAAGACAGCCTTGTGAGAACCCAAGGAAAACTTGCTCACTTTTGGGGTGATGAGAGCAAAGGGACCTGTCCACCTCGAGGGTTTCCGGGACCTGCTTTTCGTCTGTGTGTTCAGTGTCAGGGGATCAGGGCCAGGGCCAACAAGCTGTTCTGCAAACTCAGTCAAACCTTCCAGATCCCTTTCTACTCTGGGTCTGAACATGTTTCTGGAAGACCTGAATGTGTAGCGTGTTTTGCTCATACATCTTAAATTTTCAAACATGTGGTTTCCAAAAGCAGCAACTCCATGCTCGTTCTCTGGTTTCTG